TTTTATGTTATGTTAATCACCATACATCACATCATCAGTTTTTGATATAGTGTTCCATGATTCATTTTTTGTGTATAACACCCAGTGCTCCATTCAGTACGTGCCCTCTTTAATACCCATCACCAGGCTAACCGATCACCGCACCCCCTTCCCCTCTAGAACCCTGTTTGTTTCTCAGAGTCCTGATTGATTGATTTTAGAGAAAGAGAGCACAAGTATGGTGAGGGCCAGAAGGAGAGGGAGAGAATCCTCAAGCAGACTGTGTGTGTGAAGCCCCACATGGGACTCGATCCCATGACACTGAGATCATGACCTGACCCAAAATCAAGAGTCGGCCACTTAACCAACTGAGCCACCCATATTTTTCATTTTTATGGTCCTGTCTGTGGTCTATTTTTTCTTTGCTCCCTTGTAATTTAACTTCATTTCAGAAAGGATTTTTGACTCTTTTTTGCTTTTCCCCCCTGAGTTTAGTCAGTTCCTGTTTTTCACATCTTCCTTTGAGCTTATGAGTCTCTGCTTTATAGTTTCCCTGCATTAATGTGATACTTTTGTGCTAAATTAAAGCAGCATACACCTCACTGAGAGCCAAAATGCATATGTTAAATTTAACTTGAGCTCTGACCTCATTTGATGTTCTTAAGAGTAAATCAAATGAATTAGAAGTTTAAAGCACAGAATATTTCATTGGTAAACTATATAAGAGGTTTTGGTACTTACCACGAAACCTGTGCTTATTAGTAATCTGAAAACCTACTGTATTGTGATAAGCACAAATTGAGGCATAGCCAAAAAGAAAAAAATTAACAGGCAACTTCCTTATTCCCTGGGTTGAGGTCTTCTTTCATATAGTCATACTGTTTTGCTGCCTGGAGGAAATATTGCCAGAAGAAGAAACAGAGTAAGCACAGAGAGATAGAACAACAGAAACATATTTTGAAGATCTCAGGTTGGCTACAGGAGAAAAATGAGTATTTCTAGCTGTGTGAATTGCAATCTCAAATAAATCAGCATTCTGTGCAGAAAGAATTAGAGGAGACTAGAAATTGGATAGTCAACTAGCTTCTGCCATAGTTAGATATTTGGCCTTGAAGCTTAGGGTACAAATTATAACTAGATTTAATATTATTCACATAGAGATGGTCTTGATCTTCAAAAAGAGGATATAAATTAAGAGAAGAAAAGAAAGAATAAAAATGGGGGGAACCCATGTGTTTTAAGGGCAAAAAAAGGCAAATCAGCCAGAAAAGGGGACATGGAGTATTCAAGGTATAGGATAAAAAGGACTGTTAAATGTCCCTGTCCTAGTGAAGCCTTCTGCTGTTTTCCCAGGGGCCTGATGGCCCGCTGTGTTTAGGAGATGGACTTAGTGACACCTGAATAAGAATTTCACATGGAACGGGTAAGTGCGTGGGGAAGAGAGTTAAGGACCCAGCAGCTGAAAACATTGGCAGAGTGGCGATGGAGAGTGAGGGATGCAAGAGAAGAAGACAAGGGTCATGATGGACAGGCAAGGCAGGAAAGAGGTCTGAAAGGTAGTCCATAACCATAGGCTGTGATGCCCCAAACAAGACCAAGTTCGAGGGAACTATAGCCTTAAAAGCTTGGGTTTTAATCAAACAGACCCAGATTTGAATCTCAGTTGCCACTTACTAGCTGGATTTCAATCACAAGTGATAGAAGTTAGATATAGCAGAAACTTGTAATGAATGATCATAACACCAAGCACCATGTGCTTTAGAGACATTACCTCCTAGTCTCACTTAACCCTCCTAAGAATTCCCATTAGATGGATTTTAGTCTCCCCAGTTGTACAGAAAAGTAATCTGAGGTTTCACATGGTAAAATGCCATGTTCACTGTCACAAAAATAGCTACAAGGTGGAGCCAGGGCTGGACCCACGCCCCAAAGCCTGTGTTCCTGACTGTTCCATTGGACCAATTCCTTCCTCGAAATGAGTGTCTTGGCTTCAGGGGCACACACAGCCCATGGCCACCATGATCACTCAGCCTATCGATTCCATCTGGGCTTCGGCCCATCCATTGTGGTGGTGAGGCCATGGTGGGCCTCTGGGCCCTTCCTGCTCATCCTGACTCTGGGTGACATCAGTTAGGACTCTTGGAGACTTGGAACGGAAAAGAAGAAAGGGGAGCTTGATGCATGTGATCTCTGACCACCAAACCCTACTTCCAGACCACCAGGGACCCACCCCGTCCCTATCCCCTAGATTTCCTGTCTTTAGATACACCCTGTACAACCCACCGATGCCAAGCTAACTACTGAGGCCTCCCTGGTCCACGTGTCTATAAATCACCATTTACAACCCTGGTTTTCCTGAGCTGCAATCTGGAGAATTGTGCAGAGTGGGAAGCATATCTTGAGGGGCTCTGACTCTCTAAACGATTGATGAATGTGTCTGTCGCCTGTCTTGTTTTCTTCCCACATCAGCGGTCTTTCCACATGCATGGCCACTGAAGTACTGACTCCTTGAGGGATTCTTTAAAGTCTTTGAAGGGAGCATTTGGGAGCTAGGCTTTTGTGGACAGTGCCGCCGCCCCTCCTCCTTCCATTTTCATTCTCACTTAACATTGACTGAATCTCTGTGACGAGGTACAGCACAATTAGAACCAGGGTGCTCACTGGTTAAGAATACAGGGCAGGTGCATAGTTAAGTGAGCATGAATATGAGGCAGCAATAGAAGAATGCAGAGGAGGCCTGAGCAAGCCAGATCAGCAGTGAGAAGTCACTGAGGAGAAAAGCAGAATGCACGGTCCTTCACCGATGGTGGGACATCTGCCTCGTCAATGTGGTCCAAGTTGATCCTCTAACAGATGCATGCAGTGGGAACACACCCTCGTCCTGCAGGATGAGGCTGCAGCCTAGCCTACTGGAGCTACACATAATTCGAGGCCTGCTCTCCCACTTGGGCCCAAATGCCTTATAGTGGGAACCGGGGATGGGGGGCTCTGGGAAGGGTAGGGAACAGGCAGAAGCAGCAGGAGAGACTCTTACCACTGGGCAGAAGAAGCACAGTAGGGTGGGAGTGGGCTGGCTCCCCATAACAGTGCCCTGCCAGCAGGATTAGGGTCCACGGCCCTGCCAGGACCAGATTTTGTGTGCAGGGCAGCCCTGCATGGTAGATGCAGCTCAGCAGGGAAGAAAACAGATTGGAGGGCCCACATGCAAACGCCGTGATGTATCAAATGAGGAACTGCGGGTAAATGCTGTAATCAGACTACCCGTCACTTTGTGAAATGGCAGAATATTGCCCGTATCCTGTTGGGGCCTGGGGAGGATGACACCCCTGGCTGCACCTGGAGCTCCTCAGGGGCTCCACGTGGGCTGCTTCCCTGCTCTCCCATCCCTCTCCACAACCAGAATTCGTCATGCTGATGTTACTGCTAATACATACATCCATGCTAGAATGTCTGCATTTTGTGATAGGAACTGGCATCAGGAATGCTTCTCCTCCACCTCTTCTCTCCTTCACCTTCCTCCTCCGTGCAGGTTTGACCCTCCCATGGGCATTTGCCCCCCACCAGCCATGCCTTAGAGCAGGGTGCCCACTCAGGTCATCACCCCTGCTAAGGCATAAATTTCCCTGAAGGCAGGGTCTTATCTTTGTCTTCTTGGAACATTAATGCTCCTTTGATAGTCACTACAATTAGACTTGAAAATGCCAGGTTTTGATCATGTAGGTAGGATGTGTACACTGTGATTGTTAGTCTCGTGCAAGAGCGAGAGTGTGTTCTGACATTTCTGCTTCAGTTTCCTTTCCCAAAACCAGCCCTGTCATGGCCAGCACCCAGCCCCATGGCCACGACCACCACCCTCCACTTCTGCTACTAAGGATAGTCAGCTGCATTACACCAATACCCCGTTTATTATCACTTACAAAAACACCAGCTCCTGCTATTTTTTTTCCTGCTGTGTGACCCAGATAGATTAATTTGCTTTTCTTACCCACTGAGATGGTGCAAAGATGCAACTATTGCATCTTTGTTAGCTGACTATGGAGAAAAAAAAAAACGTGATTAAATTACCAATGGCCATATTGATGATTGATAGTATCAAGTCTGCACTAGAAGTGGAAGGGGGAAAAAAAAGGATGTCCCGATATTATTTTATACGCTCAAAGCCTCCTGATATTGTATATACAACATAATTCGGCATATAATTAGGTCAATACGGTTAATACCTGCACTTCGAAGTTAACCAGGAAAGGATAAGATTTTATTTGCTCTTTAAAATGAAAGCTAGGCTTTTAATTCTTTGTCTTTAAAAAGCTCATGATGCCTGATGAATCGGATGCAGTGTGCAATGCCTCCGTGGGTCCATCAGAAGGCCATTGACTCAGACTCAGAATTAAAGCCCCACAGAGCTCCAGCCCCCACAACAGCTCCCCCTAGGGTTGCAAAGAGTCCCCTTCAACACCTGGCACCCATCTCCGTGCCCAGGGGCCCTGCTTAGAGCTGTCCCAGGCCAGGACCCAAGCCCCGGCTCGCATCTCCCCCAGTTCAAGGTCAGAGATCTGAAGTCTGCCTCCCACTGAGGCTTTACACAGAGAATACGTCCCAAGCTTCTGCTTTTCCTGTATTAAGCTTAAAAAGAGAAGTAAAACTGGAAGCAAAAGCCTAAAGAAAAGTTGGGGATTCTTTTTATTGATTTTTTTAAATTTAGTTTATGTTTTGCTTCTCTGAGTGTAAGCTCTACAACTTAATTTTTCAAAGGGGTGGAGGAAGGCATGATAATTAGGAATGCAATGTTTTGACATGTGTGTGCATGAAACTAAAGGCGATGAGTAAATACAGTCACGTATTTCAGATGGACATCAGTCGCAGGTGTGAACTTCTACTTACACATCAGGCCACTTTACCCCTCTGAATAAAACGAGCATTGCTGGTGGAAAGTTCATTCGTCAACGTGCTGATGAGGAACTCTTCTTGCACAGTTTTTTTCCTACAGTGAGATCCTTAATATTGTCATTTCTTGGCCATAGGCAAAAACTGGGACCTGACTGCCGCTCTGAGTGACTATGAGCAGCTCCGACAAGTGCACACAGCCAACCTGCCGCATGTGTTCAACGAGGGCAGGTGCCCCAAGCAGCCAGAGCGAGAGCCAACCCAAACCGGCCACAAGGTGGAGCGGCCCTGCCTGCAGAGACAGGACGACATTGCCCAAGGTACCTGGTGAGGGGCTGAGGCCAGGAACAGCTTCCCCAGAGTGCCATGGCTTGCATGGGGGTAGCGTAGTGGGGGTGGGGGGTGGAGGGCGCAAAGAACCGCAAGGTCATCCCTCTTCTGGGCTGTGGACACATCAGGCTCTCCACGCACATCAAGCTGAAACGTGCACTGCAGCTTCCGTTTCCGGCTCCTCCTTCTGCCTCGGAAAAGCAAGAGGAGGAGTCCAGTTCCCCAGGACCCCACGTGATTAAAGGCCAGCCCTCCTCCTGGAGCCCTAGTCTCTCCAAGCCAAACACCTCTAGTCCCTTCACTTTTTTCCCACCTAGTCTCCAGATCTGTTCATCATCAGTTCGTTGCCCCGCGGGCTCCATTTTCTCTATTCTTTTTCTTAATTACAGAAGTCAGATGTATTTATCGTGATGAAAGAAACAGTAGAAAGATATATAAAGAGAACTTACGAGTTTTCTTCTCACCCATCTCAGATCTCACTGATGTAATAACCAACAATTACATCCTCGTCTGTCTCCTCCTTGCTTTCCCTGGGCTCTTTCAAAATGCATCAGGGTCAAATGCACATAATGCTTCTCAGATCACTTGTTTCACTGAACATTAAATCATGAGTAGAGGCTCAATATTTTATTCCACAGCCTACAATGATTTTTAAACCACTCCTGTATTAATGGTTATTCTGGTTTTCTTGGGTTTTTTTGTTTTGCTTGTTTTCGATACTACTAGCAATGCTAAAATAAACAACGGTATGCCTGTGATCTTAGATACTAGTGCTTTTGTTTCTATAGGTTAGTGTTCCCAAAGTGGATTTGCTGTGCCAGTACCTGTGTATCTTTAATTCAATAACTGCAGGACTTTTTCCCAGACGCATTTCTGCTTGCAATGTGTGAAATGAGGTATCTCCCTCCACTTTTGCCAACACTGGACGTTTTTGTAATGGCTTTACATTGCTTTTCTACTGTGAAGGGTGGAAAAGGGTGTCTTGTTTTAACTTTCATCTTGTCATTTGTTTGTTAGCCAATTGGATTTCCCCTTCTGCAACATGCCTGTTCCCATACTTTGCCCATTTTTCTATTGATTTGTTTTCAGTTTTCTGATCAACGTGTAGCATCCTCTGTGATTAAGACTAAGAACATATATTTTTATATATGTGTATGTCTTTCCCGGTATATCATTGCTTTATGACTTTGTTTACAGAATATTTTGCCACACAAAATGTTTATATTACTATGCATTCATGGCTGATAGGTGTCCTCTTTTGCTTTAGAAGGTCTCTTGGAATAGTTACTGAAATATGTTCCTATATTCTTTTAAAATTTTGTTCTTAGGTCTTTTGATTGATTTGAAATTTTTATAAGTAATAAGGAAGAATCTGGTCTTGCTTTCTTCTGGATCAAGAGTGAGTTACTCTAGCACATTTATTGAATAAAACATTCCTCACCCACTGAACTAAAATGCCAACGTTGCCATATATTAAATTCCCAAAAATATTTGGATCTGTTTACAGACTCTGTCAATCTGTGCGGTCACCCATCCTGTTACCTTAACTCTGGTAGTTCATATGCTGTACTTTCTGTTAAGGCAACTCCTTTCACTGATAGTCTTTTCCAAAAATTTTTCACTATTTTTGGACGTTTTATTCTGCCATATAAACCTTAAGCTTGGAATTCTGGTTGGAATTGGATTGAATTTTTATTTTAAGAATAATTGGCATAGCATAATATTGTTTTCCCACTCAAGAACATTAAATATGCCTCTCCATTTAGTCAGATTCTAAGATTTTAGACATAGAGAAAAGCAACTTACTTTTTCCATATTTATATTTTATGCAGTAATTTACAGAAATTCTCTTATAATATTAATCATTTTTTCTAAGAGAATATCTTGGGTTTTCTAAATATGTATGTATATATGGCTGACCCTGCTGTTTTTGACTGGCAGCAAACCAACCAACCCATTATTTTATCCTCCCATTGAGGCTAGAGGGACCCTCCTCTCTGCTTCCAGAGAGGCTGATGGATTCAGAGCCTAATAAATGTAACTGAAAAAATAAGTCTGTCACATAATTCCATTAATTGAGTTTTTTAGTTTCTGAATTAGATATATGTATCCTTTAACTGAGTTCTTGAAATCATAGTGCATGCACTAACAAGGAAAATGAATGTCTCCATATTATAAATTAGGGGTCAGCAAGCAATGGCCCATGAGCCAACTCTGGCTACTGTCTGTTTTTTAAATAAAGTTTTTATTGAAACACCCTCATGCCCATTCATTTATGCATTGGCTAAGGCTTTGGCTTACAAAGCCTAAAGTACTTATATCTGTCCCTTTCAGAAAAGGTTTGTGCACCTGTTTTTAAAATACCTAGGATTTCTTTTAATCAGATAGGATAAGGTAGGCAAACATGGAAAAGAATATCATGAAGGAAGCTGTTAGACTCACAGTTCCCTAAAAGCAGGTGGCATGGCACACTATGCAGGACGACATGAGGAAGCACCAAGGTTGGTCAGGAGGCGGAAGGGACGGAGAGGAAAAATACGGGCATGAGTTTTATTTTGCTTTCCTTGGAAAAGGCAAGGCAGGGTAAACAGATTTAGGATTGGCAAGATTGAATAATTTCAGCAGGCTCTCTGGGGTTTAGGAGCTATCCCTGGTTGTCTTGTACCTTGCCCTGGGCTGCAGAGACATATTGCTTGCTGGAGTGTAAGAACCAGATAGAAGAGGTGGTTCAGAGTATGGGCTCTGGATTGGTTGGTTTGCATAAGAAAGGCACGCTCCTTTCCTACGAGTCATTTGCTCTCAGAATTAGCTATTCCTAGTAAGAAGAGCCTCTGCCCAGTCAGGGATGCCCCAGATGCCAGAGCATCAAGAATACAGAAAATAAGAAAATATAGTTAAAACACCTCCCCTGGCCTGAATCAATGATCAGTTTGAGTTGGTTTTGTCAATAGTTGCAGAATTCTGTGCATTCTCTCGCTGTGTTTTTGTTTAATATCTGTATTTCTCTGGGGCATACCTCTGAACATGGTCGTTCCTGTAAAACAATTCATTTATACCTCTAAAAGAAGGACCACTGAGTTCATGTTTAAAAAAATCAATGTGTGTGTGTATCTGTGTGTGATTACATATGTGCATTCATGGAGGTGGTGGTGGGGAAGACTTTTTCTTTTTTTTAAGATTTATTTATTTATTTTAGAGAGAGAGTGAGCAGAGGGAGGGGCAGAGGGAGAGGGAGAAAGAATCCTCAAGCAGGCTCCCCTCTGACTGAGGAGCCCAACGAGGGGCTCAATCCCAGGACCCTGAGATCATGACCTGAGCCAAAACCAAGAGTCGGACGCTCAACTGACTGAGTCACCCAGGCGCCCCCCAAAAGCCTTTTTCATTCAGCCTCCAAATATTTAATAATTGGAACTGCTTAATAGCATTATATTATACTATGAATCACAATGTTCCTAAGGTCCTAATAGCATCTCATCAATTGACAAAGAGGTACTGAGTGATAAGCCATGAAGGAGTATGGATGACCCCTCCCATCAGATTCCCACTGTTGAGAGCAGCATTGTGAGTCTGCCCAGTGGATTGTGGGGTCACGTAGCACCTCAGGTGTTAAAGAATGTCTGATGTCCATCTCCATCAGGTCCCAAAGGGTGATGCAGTTCCTACTTTCCCAGATATAGAAACAGTAGTCTGCAGCAAGAGGTAAGACATCAGCACGGCTTGTGAGACCTGGAGAACATGGCAGAAGGACTTAGAGTTTCCTCTGCTCCTGCTCTCAAGAATGTGGATCAAGTGCAGGAAGCAACGGGGCCATCCCCAGTGGTAGACAAACCAGGCCCTACCTGCTCCATGTCTCTTCTTTCTCATGGCCGGTGTGGTTTAACTTCTCTTTGCCTTTCCTCAAAATACAAAATAACTAGTCATCATGGTCTCAGAATCCAACTGAAGATGAATCAAAACTACTCATTTTAAAAATACTCTGTCTGCGGGACTCAACCACTCAGTTTAATGCCCAGATACTTGAGGCTTCTGAGAAAGGACTTTAAATTTAAAACCAACTTACCCCAGGATTAAAAGCCTCTTGTTTTTAGTCTGCTGTAGCAAAATGACTTTAATGACATTTTTGTCCACTGCTCTTGCATGTGGGGAAGTAAGAAGCTCCCGTTCTGGATGAAGGCATAGGCGTGGGTTTAATGACATTTCTGTCCACTGCTCTTGCACGTGAGGAAGTAAGGAGCTCTCCTTCCAGACGAAGGCACGAGCGTGGGTTTTCTGTGAGCTCAGGTGGGCAGAGACATGCTTCAGAGTGGCATCAGCTTACACGCAGAGCCTGATCAGTGAGCAGGCTAATCTGAAATGAAGTGGCAGTCCTCATGACCTAAGTGGATACATTTACGAATTTGCCACAGGGCTTAGACAACACTCATTCAAACACTAGTTTGAATTTGTTTCCCTGAGCAAATTGAAAGAGAACTTCTGCCTTGCTAGAAGAATTCTCCATTATTACAAATATTGACTTCAAAAAGAAAGTGTCCCCCTAACACCGTGTATTTAAGACTTCTATTATGGTAAATGTTAGCTATTAAGAGCAGGGCTTAAAAAACCAAGTATGCTTTCATAGCCAAGAGAACAAAGACATCCGCTTTTTTGCTATGGCGTTGAGATCACATGATTTTCTTCATGGGGCAAAATCAAGTACATCAGAGGAATTCTGCACTAAACTTCTCACCCTTTGGCTGGAAACTCTAGGCAGAATAAAACCAGAGTACACAGGCACTTTCTGAGTGCTGTGTCAATGGCAAACTGAGAAGAGAAACAGGGGCTCCTGGGGGGCTCAGTTGGTTAAGCATCTGCCTTCAGCTCAGGTCATGATCCCAGGATCCTGGCATCGAGCCCCGCATGGGCTACCTGCTCAGCGGGGAGCCTGCTTCTCCTTCTGCTCCCCTCTGCTCGTGCACTCTCTCTCTCTGAAATAAATAAAACCTTAAAAAAAAAAGAGAGAGAGAGACACAAATGTGATGGCTTCGTATGTTTGTATTCGGGGCATCATCGTCACGTGGGATATGTTTATCAGAGTACCTTTAGGAAAGTAACCTCTCTTACAACCCAAGCCATGTGGGGAAAGCCTGAACCAATTGCTTCTTGCTTTAAGTATATGAATATGTAAAACAAAGCAGTCTGTCTTGTGGTGTTCAGCTGAGCCCAGGGCAGCTCTGCTGAACTGGGAGTTAGATGTAACTTAAGACCCAAAAAAGTAAGACTGGTGATCTTTCATGATGCTGCTGTGTACTTGTGTGGTAGACTTGCAGCTCACCTCTTTCTGAATGGTTTCACGACTCAGAGTGAGTAAGTGCCATATCCCAGGTGGTGGTAATGTTAGCTCAGCCACAGGGAGGCCTGCAATGTTGGAGGAAGAGTGACAGGCGTGCGGGCGAGTATGTGTGTGCCTGAAGGTGTGTGTGTGCGTGCGGACACGTGTGGGAGCATATTTGTGCATGCACGTGTGTGTGCGCATGCATGCTCGCAGAGCCACACGCCCACCCCACTCAGTTCCTGTGGTTGTCCTCTCCCCCTCCACCCCCCAGCAGAAAAGCGACTCTCCCGGGGGATTTCCCACGCCAGCTCAGCAATCGTCTCCCTGGCCCGGTCCCACGTGGCAAGTGAGTGCAACAATGAGCAGTTCCCCCTGGAGATGCCCATCTACACATTCCAGCTGCCAGATCTGAGCGTGTACAGCGAAGACTTCAGGAGCTTCATCGAACGGGACTTGATTGAGCAGGCGACCATGGTGGCTTTGGAGCAGGCAGGTGAGTGGCTGGCCCCCGGCAGGCCCGTGTTGCCTGGGCTCAGGGAGCAAGTGAGGCTGGCCTGACTTAGATTAGGGAGCAAGGGAGAGGCATGTTGTCTGACTCAAGTGTTTTCAATTCAGACTCTAGGTACTTGAAGCAGACCCCCTGCTCAGCAGACAAGCTCTGCTCCAGCCCAGCGCGGGCCAGTAGGGGCGGATGACTGTGTGGTGCTGAGAACTCTTGAGTTTTCCCTTTGTTCCCAGACCCGACCTGCCTAGGCCAGCCCCCTCTATAGAGGACTCTCTGTGGTTTTGCCTTACTTTTCTCCTGTTTCCATCTAACTCTCCCGTGGGTGTCGAATGAAAGGCAAGACCATGGGCTTTGAGAAAAATAGGAGACCATCACTTCCTGTGGACGTGAGCAAGTTAGTAACCTTCCTGAGCTTCTGTTTTCCTGCAAAGATGGGAAGACAGGTGGCGGCCCGGTGAAACTATTTGAGTATGAAATGGCACCTGCCTTGTGTGGCTGTCATCTCCTGCCCTCCCAGCCTTCCCAGCCTCCAGGTTGAAGAGACACAAACCCTGACTTCACTCTCCCTCTTTTTCTTGGCATGTCTTTTGACATCCCAATGAGGAAGAGATTTGGGGAGCAAGCCAGACTTGTCTTCTTTGGAGTTCCTCAGGACAAAATAATTAGTTCAAAACAAATGTCTAAAGCAGATGTATGTTCTTCCTGAGACAGCAAATATCCTATCTTACTCATAACCGTTTTCATTATATATCTTTGCAAAATCACATGTTCAGGGGCTTCTTGGACATGCATCGAGAAGACTTCTATGCCCTTCAAAGGCCTGGCACCTGGAGGTGCTCCTGTGTGGCACCTCCCAGGGGAACAGGAAAGGGAGCCTCTGACTGAGCATGGTGAAGAGAGGATGTGTTCAGGCCTTCAGTCAACTAGTTCTGCTCTGTCAGGAAATCAGGCTTATCTCAGCTCTTCACCAAGACACAGTTGAAAATGCCCAAGCCTTTGGAATGTGGCAGAAGACTGAAGAGAAGGATCTGTAGTTGGTACGATCTTAACATTGGCAGAAGGACCAGTCATTTCCTACCAGTCCTTGTGGCAAAGAGGCAAACAATGAGTGTAGCTGATGGAGAAAGCTACTTATAGAAGGTGTGCCTTCTAGGAGAAAAGATTCTGAAAAAATAAATATTCCAAACACCTTCTTCCTCCACCATCCAGGCTCTGACCAGTGCCTCTCACCAGCAGAAGAGCAGAGAGCAGAGAGCCCATTACTGGGGTCCGTGCAGGTTGCCTTGTGGGTAGAGAGTAGAGAGAGCACAGATCTGCAGGGCAAATGGGAAGCATCCAGAAAGTTGACACTTGGGTGTTTTCACCAGATCCAAGCTTCCGTGTATACTTGGCTTCCTCCCATTTCTTGTAGAACAATCCAGGAAACATCTTCATCCACCTACTCCAAGAAGGAAAGCACAGAATTCACATAGACAAAGGAAGGGATGGTGGTTAGTGGGGCCTTATTTGTGCTGGGCATCCTGGTGATTGGTCTCAGCCACAGGACTCAGGGGAGCCTCACCCATGGCATGCTTGGTTTGAGAACAGGGTCCGCACTCCCAGTAACTCATTGAATGTGATGTTGTGACTGCAGATGACTTGTTTCCTCAGCTGCTACAAAGCTGTCAAAAGCAGCCCAAAGACTGACACCCACAGCCCTGCTCTGTCTTATCTCACGGTCACTGACTGATCAACAGTCACAAAACAATTCACCTGGATTAGCAGTAATCCTAAACCACTCGCTATGGAGGCTGGCTCTTTTAAAGATGCTTCTATGTGAATAATTCAGATATGAATTATAATAATGTGAATAATTCAGATACGAATACGAGATTTTAAACAAAGGGTTCACTCTTCATACAGAAGCGGGAATTGGTATAGGTTAAGAAAGAAAAGCATTTCATGACCTAATTTCTCTCGACTGCTACCCAGCTGGGACTTTATAACCTTAGATCCTGACAATGGCTGGTAGCGCCAGGAATGGTGGCTGCTTCCTTTGAAGATGGGGTCCTGGTAAAGGGCGCACGCCCCCCTCTGGCACCATGAGAGCTCCCTCCTTCGACCCTGCCATGCTTAGCAAAATCCTTTACTTCTTTGTAATGTCTTTTCTGTTATTTCTTCCATATGTTACATACTCATTTTTATCACTTACATCTTACCTTCCGGATTCGTATTTTAAAAGGGTACTATTGTACTCCAACCATCCAGCCTTGGAAAGCACCTTTTAAGAACCCAAACTTACCAAGCGAAGACACTAAATTCAACACTGTTTCTGTCACATGCCAAGAGGATGGAGAGAACGGGCAGCAGGGATCCCCACCCAGCACTGGGAAGGCACCCCATCCATGCTGCAGAAAGCCTTGGGGAGGGTGGTTGGCTGCCCACCCCCACCCCCCACCCCCCGCTTTGGGAAAATGCCCCTGGAGCAGCGAGAGCCTGAACATCAGGGCTCTGCCTAGCACAGGGAAATGAGGAACTGAAAAACAATGTGGGCATAAAGAATAAATGTGTTCATTTCCTTAGCATAGAATTGACCCCAGCCTGCCATCCATATGAATTCTCTTTTGACTTCTTTCTTCACCTTCCAAGCAGGGGTGTAGACTAGATCATCCCTCAGGCCCTTTCTGTGCCCAAATTCTGGTGAGGACCCTGGCTCATGTCAGGTGAGCCCCAGATGGTCCCCCACCCCATCTGGGTGATGAGTATGGCCCACTAGGAGGCAGACTTATTCTCTCCCACCCAGGCTGTGCTCCTGTTGTTCAGGCACCACTGTTAATGTCCATGGGGAAGATGGAGCTCTACCATGAGACAGCGATTTGAGAAAGCTGCTCAGTATTGCCAGGTATAAAGTGCAAATTCCTCCTTGTAATTTAATGCTCAGGACAGTTGTGGGTAAGCTGTTGATGTACATGTGTTGCACACATACTATATACATGGGAGACAGATATAGATGTCCAAAAAAATCCACTTGCTCGAGGCATAATTCTAGCTGTCTTGGGAAGGAAATATCATCTCTGTCACAGAGTCTCAGGGTGGGGGTGCTTTCCCTGCCCTTGGGACTCTACAGGAACTGGAGTTTGTGTGGTCCAGAAAATTGGGAATAAACTGACCTTCATTCAGTTTTGCCCCTGGTCCATCACAGGGGCTTGGCTCTACTCTCTCAGTGCCTGGTAAGGCATGGGGCAGCCCATCTATTTGAGGGGCCTCTGCATTGAGTGGGGTGCCAGTCCTTACCTCCCACAGAACCCACAGTGCCATTCTCCCAGGCCTTAAATCCCTGCAGGGTACAACCTATTCCCTCCCACCCCATGACAGTCTTACAAGCAACAAAAGGACACGTCTTCAGTACATATAAGCACTGACCTGAGAGAGGAAGGAAAAATGCCTTTCATTCTTTAATGATTACCTGCCATGGAAAATATAAGAAACCATAAATTTCTCCATCAGGTTATGTTGCTTCACTTATCTGTAAGAAGACTCCAAGATCATGGGTCTCTAGGCCTGAGGAGTAAGCACTGGTACCTTGTCCAGAAGCCCACCACTGTGGGCAAGATGGTGTGTAATGCTTCAGCAAGTCTGTGAACCCAAAGGGCAGAGGCATGTCTGTGTAATATAGTAGTTACTGCATACCTGAGAAATTGAAATACAGATGTCAAAAAATATTTAGGGACCCCCTTGACTTGTGGTGTTGAGTCTTGGCTCCATGGAAGGATAGTCAGATTGAAGCAGATCTGCCAGGGAAGTGGTGGGATGTGCAGATGTTCCAAAGGCTTCCGAGTCAGCCCAACATGGCCAAGTCCCAGGTCAGGTGGGAGAACTTGGCCACGTTACTTGGCCTTCTTGAGCCTCACTTTTTTACATTTCGAGTCGGAGATGTGTGAGAGCTGTCAAACCAAGACCAGTTCACCCAACACAACCCTGTGCTCCCATGAAACAGCCCATTGCAGGTGCTGGGGCCATGACTCTAAACCACACAGATGAAATTCCTGCACTTGCAGAGATTAAATTCTAGTAGGGAAGAAAGACGATAAAAGGGAGACCATATACGTGAAGTGAGGTGGTGAGGACTGTTGTGGAAGGGGTAAGAAGCAAGGTAGGGAGGTACGAGGAGAAGGGAAGGAGACTAAGGCAGGCCTCTGGAGGGCAGGGAGGAGGGAGGGATGGAGACATCTGGCTCTGGTGTTCCCAGCAGAAGGGGCTTGGCCTCAAAGGCTTGCACACTACGTAAGGAAGGCCAGGTATGGGAGCAGATGGAACAGGGGTTGGAGGAATTGGAAAGGAAGGCAAGAGAATGGTAGCCAGGGGCCCAGGGAACCATTGTAAGCCCTGGGGACTAACTGTAGGTCAGAGGTGCAGTCCCAGGAGGATTTGAACAGGGGAGTGACATGTTTAGATTCACATTTGATGCATTCTGGTGCTCTGTTGAGAATGGAGTCTAAGGGGGCAAGAGAAGAAGCAGGAAAAGCAAGGAGGAGGTAGCTGCTTTAGTTCAGGGGAGGAGGGGTAGCCAGCGCCCTGGGGGTAGCAGTGGAAGTCACGAGAAGAAGCTAGATACTGAAGCAGGATCTGCTTTGAAGGTGGACCCATGGGACTTGCTGATGTACTGGATGCGGACCATGGCAGAAAGAGCTGAGTCAAGCATGACCCCAAGAATGTTGCCCTTCCTTAGCACGCGGGTAGATGACAGTGCCGTGGGGAGATGCAGACCCCTGGGGGAGGGGCAGATTTGGGGACGATGGACGGGCCAGGAGGGGCAGGCTAGGTCAGAGATCCTGGTGAGACTTGTGACATCGCTGTCCAGTTGAACATGAGAGTCTGGAGGTCAGGAGAGGCCTGGGTTAAGGATATAGATGCGGGAGTTAGCAGTGTGAAAAGAAATCCCTGGGGAGGAGGTGAGCTTTCATAGCAAGCTCCCACCATAGCCCCAACACAGTTCCACTCTGTCTTGA